ACCACGTGGGGACAATTTATTGACAGAAACGATTTAGGTGAAAAACATATTTACTCGTTTATAGGTATATATTGAAGGTGTTTATTTTCTTAAAATTGTTTATAATATTTATATTGTAATGTAAAATATGTATTTTCTTGTTATCCAAACACTGTCATCAAAGTCATCACCTCGTCGAAACTGTTGTCTTTAAGGTGGATGTTTAGTTCCGAAACTTCGTCCATTATTCTTTGCCACTGAAACCACTTCTCAATAAGGCTAATTTTCAGCAATTTGTTGGCGCTAAGGCTCTTACCTCTTGAATACAATTTAATGGGAGTTCCAGTTGAGTATGAGTATGAGTATGGAAACGTATAGCAGAGACATTAACCGCCACTAATCTCCCAGGGTTATTTTACCCCCTTTCCGTTCTCCTGCGTATCCCGCCAAATCACAGCATTACCTGTGTTTGTTGGATCCCACCTGTTTTTACGCCGGCTGGTGGATCCACCCTAGGAGGTCGTGGATGACAGTGTCTATGGTTAAGGCCGCGTTTTTGGAGGACATTGAACTGACCCCAAACTAAGTACAATCCGGAATCCTCCTCAACCTGGGACTTAGTAATAACCCCATTCAATTGGGATTCATGAATGGAGGTAGAAGTGTTAGTACGCTGCTAGAACCTGTCCTTGTTGGTGTATTTCTGAACATCTCTGTCCAAGTCAGTTTCAGGTTCCTGGTAACCTCTTTAGAATTGTTTGCCCCCCTGTGTGATACTGAGTCTTGTCTTCCGTACCGAAGTCCCCGGTAGCACACTGTCGTCTGCCGACGTTTAAATGACGTCTTCTGACGTCCTTTCACCGTCATTTAAACGCCAGCAGACGTCAGTGCGCCACCTGGGGTGTTGACGGCCATGACACAGCGTAAATGCCCTCTGCCTTGGTGGATATTCCTCTTGCCGAGTGCCGGCTACCAACCTTGTATATTCTTTATTTATTTTATTGCTAAATTAGTGTTTATACCGTTTTCATTTAATTTATATCAATTTAATGGGAGCTCCAGTTCGCTTTGAAAATAATTCACTAAATTAAACACAAATCGCTGGTGTTTCCCATTTAACCGATTTCCGGGCATTATAATGAGAATTTTACGGTTTTTTGCTAAGATCTTGTTATAATGGATTACATTGTGGAAAATCAGGAATCAAGTTCAAAAACAGATGAAAATGCATCGGTTAAAAAAGAAAACATTTCCACGATCACGTCAGTAAACGAAAACTAATCTTTTTGGGGCAAAATTTGCTCTGTAAACAACTGTTGTAACAATTTCACGAAATTGTACATTGTGCTCTCAGCTAATTGCGACGTTGCCGCGTATTCGAATATTTATTGCCCACCCGCATTTTTTTAAATTATATCAAAAACTATAGATACAGAAAGTTGTTTTTGTAAAAAACCAGGGTCAGATTAGTTTTGTAATTGGTAATATGCAATTTTGTAAGCATTTTTTTAATTTTTAAGGTTTTAATTATTTTGTTGAAAAAGTACACGTGATTTTAGGCATTCAATCAAAACATTTCCCACTGAAAATACGCATCAACAAGTTCAACTGACTTTAGCGTCTGCAACTTATGTTACTGCTTACTTTATTATAATTTGTAACGTGTTCGTAACAACTGTCCAGAGTGTTTACCTATAATATATTTTATATATTAACAGAAATCTGTTATAATTGTTATTCGGATTCCTTATTTAACGAGTGTGCGAAGTGCAAAGTATCCGAAAAAAGATGCCATCACTGGTTTTTAAACTGAAATTAGGGGTACAGTGAAGTGGGTTAAAGTAACGAAATCACTAAGTGTTGTAGTAGTACTGATAATTATATTGTACCAAATTTCTTTATAATTTGATGATTTCATAATGGTATGTTAATTTTTTGTGCACATTGTACACATGTATATGTTATTTGTTCATTTATGTTAGTATGTATTAATTTTTTTGCTTAGGAAATTGATTAATAAATCAACATTTTTTATCAAAATTCTTTTCATTTGAGTTCCCAATTTCCAACACTATTTCCACTATTTTTTTACTATGTACTATGATACAAGAAATCCTAAGCCGTTGGGGGCCATCAAATAATTCGTATTTTTCATAAGCAAAGTTAATATATTTTGCAAAAAGAAGACTTTTTGAGTCACTAAGCACTGGTTGCAATATGAAAATTGGATGTTCATCCTTAAATCAAGATTTTAATCAACTAATACCAACACTGTGTTGAACTAACTTGCAAATGCACCGTATCCACCTACGTATACCTAATGAATTGCGTGGAAAGTTTGTAGTTCTTGTTAGTAGTTGCTCTTTAGCTACTTGCAAGTTTACCTTCCATTATTCGCGCGGCAATTGTACAAATCATAACTTTCATCAAGGCAATCCGTAATAATGAGAATCGGTTACGAAATCGAAATAATTCAATGGTGAATTTCACGGATCGGCTGGCATTTTCTATTGCACAAAACCGTTCAGAATTCAGGAAATAAAATTGATATCGGTCAGCTTGAAACAGCGACGATTTTTATTGCAATTGCCCACACCAAATTGGTTTAATTTTTTTAGTTTTGGTTAGTTAGGCAAACTCTGTTATATAAAATAGTATTCGTACTTTGTTAATAATTTAGGTATTTTTATTTCAATTTTTCATGTTTGACCTAAATAAACTTAAACCTCGAAAATTTGTATTCAAATAAATTCAAATAAACTTTCTGATCTCCCGCCAAAGGAAGTTTGTGTTAAAATTGTATAACATTTGCTAGTTAATCAACGAAGTTATCGAAGAATTCTTAAAATTTTATTGTTCCGAACGCCAAGTTGGTTATGCTTTCCGGGCCCTCAATTGTTATAGCACCGTTCGGTGGTTATGGTCCAATTATTTAGTTCTCAAGGATGCCTTGATACATTTTGTTTGGTTTGTGCACCTTAAAATCGTGCCAAGTTTTTGCGTATTATAAAACTTATTAAATTGTTCAGCCAAGAAAACTGGCGACATAAAAAGGGTGCCAAGTTCAGTTTGCAATGACATTTAAAGATGGAGTTTATTTTTAGAAAACATATTTACCCACTAATATTATATATTATACCGGGTGTATCTAAGAAGAGGCGCACCCCTGTAACTTTTTTATTTATAAAGATAGACACATGAAAATTTGCATGGTTAATTAGGATATAAAATGCCACTTAAAAGAGTACAAAATGAATTTTTTGAACTTTCGGTTTTGCCGGAAATAATACTAACTTTCGATTTTTAAATGGAATGCCCTATATATTTTTACATATTTGGGATCCTAAGGAAATTCTGAGTTAGACAGCATCCTTAAATTGACCTTTTAACGTTTCTTCATCAAAAAATGTATCATCATAAAGATCAATCTAGAGTGCTTTGAACTATCTGAACTAACTATATGAACTAAAAATGGAACTTGCCTTAGAAGTTGTTATTCAGCTATTCCCAGCAGTCTAAACTTGTCAAAATTCGTTTTTCTCAAATACTGTAGTTCAAAGCACTCTAGATTGATATTTATGATTATGCATTTTCTGATGACGAAAGGACGAAAGGTCAATTTGAGGATGCTGTCCGAGTCGGACAGTCCGACTCAGAATTTTCTCAGGATTCTAAATATGTAAAAATATAAAGGGCGTTTCATTTAAAAATCGATCATTTTTTATTTGATTATGTAAAAACATACATTCATTTAAAATAAAAAAGTTATTAACGTTTCAAGTTAGCCTAATTTGCCCTGAGTTTTCTTAAGAACTAAATTTAGTAATTTGTTAAAAAAATGACAAAGAATTGATATGGAATGTTTTAAACAATGTTTTGAGATTCCAAAAATTCCACCCTTATTTCTGCAAACCTAATAGCAAAAAAATTAGAGGCTATTTCTGATGGACGCGCATCGAAAAGGACATGGTACAGTAATTTTACTCAGAATTTTATGTAGAATTAAAAAATGTAAAAATATATGGGGTGTTCTATTTAAAATAACAAAGTTTATGTCATTTTCGGTCAAACCGGAAGTGGCATTTTGTTTAAAATATTTAAAAAAAAATAGGCTTAATTGGATTATAAACGCTTTAAAAATTTCAAAATCAATATCTTTTGGCAAAAGACTTTTGCCTTTCCTCAGAAACTTTCAATGGACCACGAACGTAAAACACGTTTTTCGTAAATGTGCAACACCCTGTATATAATTAAAATAAATGTAAAATAAATAAATAATATTAATTGTTGTCCATTCATTCAGTAAATAAATTTTTCTTACAAATAAAGAGTCTAGCTGTTATCGAAACTGTTATATTATGTGCCGAAAACCGTGGATACCATTTTATTTGATCGCAAAACAAAAATGACGTGATCTGAAAAAACGCCGAGGCACGGGTATCATTTTTTTAAATTTATTTTCAAAATCTATAGGAATTTTTCATGGGAGTACTGTCGTACTGTATTAATTATAAATAAACAACATTGTCTTAAAAATTTTTTTATAATAAATAATGATACTTTTCTTTTGAGCATTTTTTTTAAATTTATTAACACCCTGTATATATAATTTAACAATGTATACTATATAACTTATTATCAATAACTTATTTATCCAACCATAATCTTGGATAGTAAAAAATATTAAAATTTGCTCTACTTTTGACCAATAGTAAATTCTTTAAACAATAATGGGAAGTGTAAAATGTGTCAAATCTTTTAATTCTTATCCAAGTTACCTATTTAGTTTACCAAATTATTCAAACTATTTTTTACTTTAAAACCTGTCCACCATCACAAAACAAGTTAATGAATTACTTAAATGCGTATCAACAATAGATTTCAGTGTTTTAGATTGTATAGTTGGTAACATGGCAACACTGCCTGAGCATACCCAAGGATACGTAATGTTTACATAACAAAAGCCCGAAGTCGGCCGACAACGGCCGACCAATCGCACACAAAGAAAAGTCGATACGTACATGATTATTACCAGCATAAAAACAAAAAATAATCCCTATGACATCCAGTGCATTATCACTTAATCCAAAATTGGCACACTAATTGGCGATAAAGTTAATCGAAAATAATATAACTAGATGGCAAAAAAATGTTTATGTTGCGGGTACGTTCGGAACACGTTTCTCTCGAGTCGCGCACGGTCTTGCACTGGCCCAGCCGACGACGGTGTTTTGTTATTGCAATCAGCTGTTGTGATAGGTTGCCCACAGCTGATCCGGTGCAAACTTGATTTTTAACAGGCTCCCCCACTTGCGATGGACGGACAGCCCGCCAATTTCTGAGCCAATGTTGCGAAAACGGCCAAAATAGACGTGGAATTAGATCGGCGTAGTATTCGGGAACGCAATTGATAAGCTATGTAGGTCACAGAGATGTTTTTAATTCTGTTCTTAAATTTTATATTGAAATATATGGACCACAACAAATTATTGGTTTTATTTAGTTCAATGTCAAAGATAACATTTTAGGATTTTTAAAATTTTATTTAGGTAGGTATATAAAAAACTTAATTTTAAGTTCAAGTTTTTAAAAGAACTTTTATAAATTAAAATCAAATCAACATAAAAAACACTTTTAGAACCTTTTAGAATTCTGGTTTAAACCCCTAAAACTAAATAACAAATTAAAGTTTGACTTAAAATATTCAATCTTAGATTTTCAATAAAATGTTGATTGTTTCGACCTTTACTTGATGAAACTCCATATTATTAATATATGAATGAAAACAACACTGTTTTAAAGTTTCACTAATTTATTTATGTTTTTAATAATTAACAATTGTTAATTATTAAAAACATAAATAAATTAGTGAAACTTTAAAACAGTGTTGTTTTCATTCATATATCAATAAAATCCCGAGTCAAAATTTAAATCGTAATTTAAACCTACTTTGACCTACGAAAACTTATTTAAAACCTGTTCAGCCTGTTTACTCCAATTTAGCACTAGAACAGCCGAATTAATCTTCATTTGAACCGATTTAAACCTCTAATAAAATTTTTGTTTCAAATTTAAACGTAATTAGAACCGAAAAATCGGGAAAATGGATGTTTTAGGTCATAAGTTGGTTATCTTTAGGCGAATATAAAACGGTTTAAGACGGAAATTGTCAACTTATTAGGTTTAAATTACGATCTTAATTTTGACTCGGGATTTTAAAATATTGTTATCTAGGTACCTACCCATATTTTTTAAAATCTTTAAATAATATTATTATTTTTTTAATAAAACATGACGTTGATAAAGATTTCAGTACCTATGCCAACCCGAGTCAAAATTTATATCGTAATTACTTTGACCTACGAACAATGATTTAAAATCTGTTCAGCCTGTTAACTTCAATTTAGCACAAGAACAACGGAATCAATCTTCATTTGAACCGATTTAAACCTTCAACAGGTCGGATTATAAACCAAGTAAGTAAATCATTTTATTTCAAAAGTAAAATTTTACCATTGATAAATTCCACTTTTTAATTTTACTGCAAATAATTAATCGAGACCATCGTTTACCGTTATAACACATATTATTAGTCGTTATCAAAAAGGAAAAATCCTTATCAATAAGAAATTTCTCTTAGCGACACGTTGCGCATTGGGATTGTTATCCTTAGCCGTTAATAGTGATGCCGCGAGACGAGACGAGACGAGGAAAGTCCTTCTCTCGTCTCGTCTCGTGCAGCGAGAGAAAATGGGTCTCTCGTCTCGTCGAGAATACTCTTTTCTCGCTCGAGAGTGCCTTTCTCTCGTCTCGTCTCGTTTCTCTCGTGGTAAAAGTATGAATACAAAAATTATTTGGAATGAAATACAAATTCGTTTATATTTTTTTATATAGAAATTTAAACTGGAAATAAAAAAAAATGTGTGCCAAGACCACATTAATAAAGTAAGACTTTTTACGCCGAAAATGTTGCGCATTTGAATCAAATGGTTGGATCTATGTGGAGTAGTTACATCTAGTATTATACACCTATAATAGGTGTTTCTTTTAACTTGAGACAGCTCAATATCTCGTGAAATACGCATTTCACAGAAAAATGTCTTAAATAAAAGGTTAATGTGACCAAAGGGGACATTATTTGGTGCTACCGCTAGCCACCCCTACCCCTCCTTAAGGGTGAAACTGGGGGTAACTTCAAAAAAAAAAATGAATAACTTTTATTTAAAACTTTTTTTCAATTTATCAACAGATGGCGCTGTAATTCAAAATTTAAGAAAATTGGGTTTCCTTGTAAAATGTACTATTTGAAACGTTTGAAAAACAAAAATTAACATTAAATCAACAATAGTCGGCATCCATCTGAAAACTACTGCGCATATATGATGTAACTACTCCACATAGATCCAACCATCTTGTACCTACTGAGCATGTCCGTCATTTTGAATCCGCAATTTTGTTTTTTTTAATGGATATCAAATTCTGAATACTAAATTTTACCCAAACCATTAAAGCCGATCAGCCATTTTATTAAAAAAAAATGGATATCAAATTTGTAATCAGGCCCTCAAAAACCACATGTTGTTGATAAGTTTATTGAATAAGCAATGCTTATTAAGCATACGGATTTTTTTTAATAGTATAAGGAGTGCCATAGATGTGCTTATACAGGGTAAATTTTAAAAATTATTATTATTTTATAAGTAATTTTTTCTTGGTTAACGTTAAGTTGTGTTATAAAATAATAAAACGTTAACCAGGAACAAATTTTGTTTATTATGAAATGCGAATAATGTTCTCATTGGTCCAAATAAATATCGTCATTTATGTGCAAAATTATAATTTTTATGTAAAAAAAATTGTTCTTTATAATCGAGAGAACGAGAGAGATCGAGAGAAACGAGAAATTCTCAAGCGAGAGAGGGCATTCTCTCGTCTCGTCTCGAGCCTTTTTTCGAGAGAAAATCGCCCTCTCGTCTCGTCGAGACGAGACGCGACGAGACGAGACGAGAGGCGAGAATCTCTCGTATCGGCGTCATCACTAGCCGTTAATTCGTAGGCGATTTTTAATATTTAAAAATCAGTGGTTTACCCCTCTTAATTAATGTAAAGAATTCGTCCATTCAGTGGCGTATTTAGGATTTGGCTCCGGGGGGGGTCCAAAAAACTAACTAAATATGTATACATATTTAGTTAGTTTTTTTGGACCCCCCCGGATCTAAATCCTAAATACTATACTATGTTATGCTTTAATAACTAAAAAATCACAAATTAGGAACTCTTCTGATCCGATAAAATAGTAAATAAAAGGAACTTTTTTTGTAATAAAAATAATAAAATATGTGCGCCCGGGGGGGGTCCGGACCCGGCGGACCCCCCCCCCTAAATACGCCACTGCGTCCATTTATTATATAAATTTAAATTATTTGTATACCGATTAAAAAATATATAAATAAAATTTCAACAAATGCAAAATTTTTATTTAAGTTTGGTTTGATTTACTGGTATTCCAAAGAATTATTTATATATCGTCGCTACGCCTGCAAGAACCTCTATCCGCATTTTTACAAATTTTACAGGAGAAGAAAAACATTTTACTACCAGATAAAACTTTTATGAGAGTATGCATTCCTTAATATTATTTCATTATTTACTACTTCCCTCGTCTTAATTTCCACCAATCACAAACGCGCAATTTTGAATTACAAATGGTTTCTAGGTGAAAAAACTGTGTGACAGCACCTGTCAGCAGTTTTTTCGAGTTTTTTCGTGCAGGTGAAAAAATCCACCGGCACTCATGCTTCTTGTTAAAATATTACTTAGCAACGTGTTTTTTCGATTTTTTTCGGAAAAATTAGATGCCCTTATGTAGACCAGGGTCGATAATTTTTGAAACCAAAAAAAATAACAGTAGGATGAAACCCATTGGAAAAGGAGAAGAATATAATAAAAATGAAAGGAAAAATTAATTACGGGCGATCTTTATCTCGATTTCCGGCAAAACTACAAGTCCTATGGAAAAAAGTTAAATGGCAAAGTTGTAGGTAATAAAAGGATCTACAACTTTTGTAATTACAATGTTTTTACATAACCTCAAAATTTATGTGAAAAATTCAAAAAACCAAGTTTTTGGTTTTTTATTTTTATCTTTTTCAAAAAAAAATTTTTTTTCACGAAATTTGGTGAAAACTTACCTTTTTATGTTTCAAATACACTGCAATTTATTTGATTTGAAATATTTATTATTTCGCCTTATTTTGACTTAATATCAAAAAAGCACCCTAATTTTCAATCGAAAATTCTCGCGTCAAAATATCAGCTTTTTTCAAAAAGTCGGTGTGCTTTTTGTTCGTTGAAATCTCTACTTTCTGATGGTGTAAAAAAATATACATTACTATGGTAAATGTTCTCAGAAAATGCAAAAAATATTATAATGAATAACGAAAACAACTCGAATTCGAAAATTTATTTTAATCATTATGTACAATTTCATCAAAAAAATGTGATTGTTGCAATTTTTTTTTAGTTAAAAAGTTTATTTATTAAATTCTAATAACATTTATGTCAGAAAATCTCATAAAATATAAAAATACATTGAATTTAGATACTTCATTCTGATTACGTTATTCATTATAATATTTTTTGTATTTTCTGAGAACATTTACCATAGTAATGTATATATTTTTTACACCATCAGAAAGTAGAGAGTTCATCGAACAAAAAGCACACCGACTTTTTAAAAAAAGCTGATATTTTGACGCGAGAATTTTTGATTGAAAATTAGGGTGCTTTTTTGATATTAAGTCAAAATAAAGCGAAATAATAAATATTTCAAATCAAATAAATTACAGTGTATTTGGGACATAAAAAGGTAAGTTTTCACCAAATTTCGTGGAAATTGAATTTTCACATAAATTTTGAGGTTATGTGAAAAAATTGTAAATACAAAAGTTGTAGATCTTTTTATTACCTACAACTTTGACATTTAACTTTTTTCCATAGGACTTGTAGTTTTGCCGGATATCGAGATAAACCATTTTTTACCCTTAAAACCCCCCCCTTCCCACTTCCCGAACTCAGATCGCCCGTAATTTATTTTTCCTTTAATTTTTATTATATTCCCCTCCTTTTCCAATGGGTTTCATCCTACTGTTATTTTTTTCTCTCTTTACCATTTTTAAAGGCTTCTGCACTGGTCTATATGATATTACTTACGACTATTTCCATCGTCTTAAT